AATTTTAAAATTGATGATTAAAAATTGATTCTTCATATTTTAAAATATAAATACTAAATAAATATTTATATTTTAATATTAAAAAATGAAACATACTGTATCTAAATTACATATATAAGACAAAATAAATGAAACATTTTTCGATAGACATGTTAAGATAAATGATTTTTTTGGCCAAAAAAGAGATTATTACTATTAAAAATCACCTACATTGTCCAAACTTTATGTACAATACACCACAAAACAAAAACAGTAAAATCAATCAATGAGCTCAAACAGAAATATAATTTTCTAAGTGAAAAAAATAAAGCTTAAAGTTTTGTACAAGTGGATGTTTCTGATAAAAATTAGCATAATTTTCTAGCTTCCTACAAGTGGCTGAGTTGCTTCTTTTTGGTCATGAAATGTTGCAAAGGGGTGAATACCTTTCCTCTCTAAGAATGTAGTGAAAGTTCACATTCGCAAGTCACATGCGTGGAGACACATATTAATGATTTATTATTTGTTTAGGTTACTCACGGAGCTTGTTTGGAAAAGATGGCAATGGGTTGGAAATAGTCTATACCTTGTCTTCCCGGTTGATGAGCACCCTTCCAAGTTGCCATATAAGGCTTCTTAGAGGACTTAAACTCATAGGTTAGATTTTCCTTAAAAATGGCATATGATCTCAATTCATTAACAATTTTCATCTGTTTAGTTATTAGTTATTTCTTTTACTTCATATGGTGGATTAGCCCCAATCTAAACTTCTAAACCCCCTCCCCAAATCCAAAGCCAGATTTGTTTCAGGAGTACAATGCATCAATTGAGTCCTATTAGGCTCCCTTCATGGTGGAGTGTGATTCAAACCTTGAAACATATCATACTGTCCTGAGATGACTGGTGAACCTTGCTGCTATAACCGAACATGGCAGGAGCTAGGAAGGAGTTGATGTGTTAGCGTTTGAGAGCTATATCTAATGGATGCACAAGTGTAACAAGCCTCAGATCAATGCTATGTAAGTTTCCAGTTTTCAATCTAATGCTTTCTATTCCATCCAATTTGTTCTACTTTTTGTGAACCTTGCTGCCATAGCCAAACACAGCAGGATCTAGGAAGGAGTTGATGTGTTGGTGCTTGGAGCTATGTGTGGTGGATGTACAGGCATATAGAACAAGCTTCATATCAATGTTATGTAAGTTTCTGGTTTTTTTTATCTAAGTCCTTCTATTCCATCCAAATTCTTTGGTTTTTGTGCTCCTAGAGCAAGTTTTTTATTTGAAATCCAACAGGTTAATTTAAGTTCTAACTTTCTTCCTGGGTTTTCGGTTCTCTTTTTTTTTTTCTTTTTTTTTCTTTTTTTCAAATATGGAACTCCAAGGATTTTTCAAGAATATAATGTGACAACTACTTGTAGAATTAGAAACTTGGGCAAATTGGTTAGAATCCAACATCAGTCCTCTATGTTCCCAACAAACATCTATGGTATGTTTCACTTGCTATTTTCTATTAAGAAACACCCCAAATCCCCAAATTATGAAGAGGATATCATAGGGAGTTATCAAGCTGTTATAAACCCTTTTGATGAAGTGGAAGAAGTTAATCCTTTCCATGTTAATCCTTTATTCTTTTCAAATTTATATGATTTTGATTACTGATCGATGATTGTGAACTTGTAGAACCGTTCAAGGCTTTCACCTCTTCCTCCAGAACCAGTTGCTCTCAACTATGGTTGTGATGCAAATCATGATATCTCTCTTGCTACAGTTACTAGACCCAGTTTTAAGGTTATTGTATTTATGTAATTTCGTCTCCCTGCATGCCACTTCCTGCTTGTTTTATGAAAGTGATCAATGATTATGGTTTTCTGATTTACACTGTTCAAATTATCTTAGGAATTGAAGAGGAAAGGAAGGGAGATTGGCCGTGGCAGTTGAACTTAACCAGCAGCATGAGGTATATCAAGGAGATTGAACTTGTGAAACATGCAGACTTTCACAAGTTTCACTCATGTGTTTCTTTTGGGATATACAACACAGGAAGTGAAGCAAGAAAGAAGAGGATTTAGCAAGAGGTAACTTGTAGTTTATGCTATAGTTTGTTGATTACTCATAATATCCACTTAGTAGCCTGTTTCTATTTCCTTTTATGGTCAATTAGCCTTTCATTCATGCCATGGCAATCTAGAACTTGCCTTGTGATTTTTTGTTCTGCAGATTGGCCACCATTTGCCTCAGTTGTTCATAATGATATTGCAAATGATATACTGATTTATTGACAAAAGTTGATGTTTATTGCCTTTCCATCATTCTTAGGTATGCAAGCTTTTTGCATTTTTACTTTTCGTTGTGGTTATTTTAGCCTTGCATTTTGGTAGATTATATTTATCGACTGAATTCATGCAATTGTATACATGATGTTATTTATAGTTATCAATCAAGGCCTCTATTGATATATGTTATGATTGGTAAATGTATTTTTTTTCCTTATGCAGGATTGGTTCTGTGCTTTTTTTGGAATGACATAACTGCTACTGCCGCATGCATCAAAGGGGAAAGATGGAAGCATTATACTGGGGAATTGGATCTCGTCTTCCCATGATGGTGACAGTTCGCAACATCTTACAAGAACTAAAGATCAACCATTACTGTTTTGAACAAATATGCAATTGTCAGAATATCAAAAACATGTTCATATATATGTTAATGCCTTATGGTGAACAGAAGGGAAAAACTCTTGACAGGAAACAGAGATTTGACCCTAAAGATCTTGCTGATTGTGTTTTCATTAGTTCTTACCGGAACTACGTAATACATGGAATGAGATTATGTATGCATATTTGTTGAGCAGTTGTAAAAATCTTTGTAATATATCTAAACCTCTTTTTTGAATATTTGATGATACACTTTCTACCTGGGTACTATAGACTCTTTTTGCGCACTGCTTTTTGTGTCTTTTTTAGATCATTATCTTGCCTTTACAAAAAGTCAAAAACTCAGAAAGTATAATCTATTATTTCAAATAATTAGAGTAATGAAAATTAAAATTTTTTTCTCAAAATTATTGGGGGAAAGGATGTGATTATTATTATTATAAGAAGTGTTAAACTTATTAATTTTTATTTTTTTATAAATATAAAAATATTAATTTATGGATTAATATTAATTTATTAATTAATAAATATTAATTTTTATATTAATTAATAATTA